GCCTTGCCTTGCCTTGCCTTGCCTTGCCTTGCCTTGCCTTGCCTTGCCTTGCCTTCTCCCTTGCTTAGGAATGTTAAAACAGACCCTTTTCCTGCTTGTAGGAAGAGTTAGAGCAGTATTGAGCTATTTCATGCCAGGCCAGAAATGGGAAATATAAAAAATAAAATTTAAATAAAAAGTGCAATAAAGTACATTAGAATACATATTGAGTAAATATTTCTGAATATTCCTGTCTTATTTTTTTAAAGATGGTCTCACTGCACCTTACAGAATTCTTTCTTTCACATATCTGGTATTAAAAAGAAACTACCAATTCCCTCCATGTTATTTTACTCTTATTACAAATAGCCCAGATAAAATATTTCATAGATAATATCAAACACCATTTTTTCTTACATCATTCATAAATTATTGATCAGATTGTTTTCTTCCAGGATGTTGATTTCAAACAAAATATGATTTATTGATTCTTTTAGATTTCTAAGTGGACCTATTAGTAATTTTCAGTATGTTAGTCCAGAATTCCAATATTGTTTGAATATTCTCTTAAGCGATGGATATGCATATTGGAGTAGAAATTTTAAAAAAGAACACCCATAAAAATTCTCCTTTATAACTATACTCCAAATGGTTTCTGTCTTCTTATCAGAATATCCTTGGCATTTTACTACTGCAATACATCAAAGCAATCCCATAGGTGTAGGAAGGTCTGTGTGAATTCTTTTACCAGAGGAACACAATATTAGCCCTGCTGGATTCATGTTGGTAATGCAGAAGGATAGCAAGGCTTGATGGGGGTTCCTCTTCCCCTCCCTTTATGGTTCTTATTCTTTAAATGATTTTTTCTTTTCTCCGATTTTGTTTGATATTGGAGACACTCCAGCAGCGGAGTTGGCCATCATAGCTAGGAACAACATTTGGATTACATTTTCTCATGTTATTTTGAAATGTATTCATTGTTCTGACCTAGGCTTCCCAAAAGCATGAAGCTGACTCCACATCCTGATAAACCCCCTTTTATTTAGTTTAAAGTGAATTCCTCTCCAGCAAAGACCTGGCCAACAGTTTTTCAAGAGATTTCACAACTACAG